TAGTTGCATGGGAAATATTATTACTGTATGTATATTAGTAAAAGCCCAGGGATTAAATTGATCAATGAAAATACTTTATCTTAATTTTGCAACATGATGATGGTTATTTATCAATTCACAAAACCCAACTCGTTATTTTGTTCAATATTCCTATATTCTTACGCGGTAAATCTACCCATGCAGATACTACGTTCAATATTCCTCACATACGCAGTATATCCATTAAGATATTTTGTTCAATATTTCTTACTATATGGGCGGTAAATATAACCAGAAATTCCACAAATGATAATCATTTTGCTTTTGCACGACTTCTTGCTGTTCTAATTTATTATTTTACTTTGCATTCGCAAGGTCAGTTTATGAAGAGCAGCGCAGCCAAGTCGAAGCTAAAAAAAACCGGTCCAATTGGCGCAATGCATGGCGAAACATTGTTAATAGAAACCTTCAGTGTTCCACTACTACGTTATTATACATCCAGTACAGTTGAAGGTAAACTCCTGCTGCATTTAAAATTTAAAGAAATATTGACGTCATATTTTTAACACCAAATGTTTAATATGAATATTTTTAATCGAATCGCCTCATCAGACTATACCAATTAATCTATGAGAACAGTGACTTTTTGTTAATATGCGTCAGGGTGCTAATATAGCAAGTACAGCAGAAATATTATGCCGAAGTATAGCAAGTACAACAGAATTGCACAAGCATAACGTTCGAAAATTGGTAGGTAGATGAAGTTTTTTTCAGATTACACGATACTTAGCCTTGAGTAATAAAATACCCCAACAGTTTTTACAAATTTCCTTAATTTATTGCTAAACGCCAAATTTTTCCTGTCCTGCATGGGTGGAAAAACTATTATTTTCCGTTGTCTGTTATCACACGCAGGGATTGATCAATCAAAAATATTTATCTCAATTTTGTAATCGTTAATCAATCCACCATGCAAATTCCCCCAACTTGTTAAATTGACATAAAATTGATCCCAGAAATTCCGCAAGTGATCATGCTTAACACAATTTGGGCATTTTTTTAATACTAATTTCAAGGTTTTAAGTTTATCTAAATTATTGGGAACCTAGGCTAGCTGTAATACCAGACGCTTAAGTTTCTGTGAATCTTTTTCCTGGTTGATGTGGGTTTATAGAACTCGAATGTTATGATAAAAAAAATGCTGCAATAGTATAGCATTGCTTATATTATTTTACGCAAATTAAAATTGGAAATTAATTTCCCATAGCAATTAAGTCACATAACTCCATTTTGTTACACTAAATCAGTAACACCGCGTATTAGGTATCGTGGCTTAGAGCTAGTATGGGTAATGCAAATTATCTCTCGTAGCCCCATAAAGGCGGACAATTGATAATAAAGCTATTCTAAGTGCAACCATGCGTAATATAGGATATAAAAGACAGAGTGTACGCCTACTCTGGGTCAGTTTGTTAAACGAGACTCCACGTGTACAACTTTGCTCCTTTATGGCTGAACCTCAACCTGTCGTCGTACCAGTCGTTTTACCGCCGCAGTTACCTAACCCGGCTCCAAATGAGAACCCTGCAGTAGCGAATGTCGAACGGCAAATTGCCGAGCCTCAAACACAGTCTGTACAAGTTAGTTGTTTTCATGGTTTATGTCGCTCCGGGGATCTCCTTGATTGCTAAATTTAAGCTGGCAATTACTCTAGTGGCCCTTGTGCTTCTCGTCCTGGCTCGCTTTCCGATTGATAAACCGTAGGTTTTACTTTGGCCGAACCTACATTTCCTTCACTTATTAAGTTTTTTCCTAGCGCCACGTTGCGTTATCTTATCCCGTTGCATATATCAAAATAATTATACGTGTCTTTCTTCCAGGGCCGTAGCTAGAAGCTTAATTGGGGGGGTGCATATTCATATATTCGTCGTATGCCCGAATGATTTCTTTTGTATGCTATTGTTTCTATGGTATATAAACATGAATATATGAATATACACCCCCCCAATTAAGCGGTCTAGGTACGGCCCTGCTTTCTTCTGGTTCTACTTTTTAATGCCCCTGATAAGGGTCGTGTAACGACATTTAATTGTTTACGCGTTTGTTTTACTTCATAGTTCTTAATTGTGTTATCGGGTTTTAATAGTGTTTCGCATGTTTCACATGAGAAAATCGCAATTGGGAGGGGCCAATTAATAATTGTGTTATGTAAACAAGTATTGGCCGTGGCTAAAGAATAGTATCGTGCTACGTGAAGAAGTATTGGTTGTGGTAAAAGAATTATCGCACTATGTGAACTAGGGCTGGTTGTGGCCAAAGAATTATTGCACTATGCATGAGCACTAGTATTGGTTGTGGCCAAAGAATTATCGCACTGTGTGAACTAGTATTGGTTGTGGCCAAAGAATAATCGCACTATGCATGAGCATTAATATTGGTTGTGGCCAAAGAATTATCGCACTATGTGAACTAGTATTTGTTGTGGCCAAAGAATAATCGCACTATGCATGAGCATTAATATTGGTTGTGGCCAAAGAATAATCGTACTATGTGAACTAGTATTGATTTTTGCCAAAGAATTATTGCATTATGCTTGAGCACTAGTATTGGTTGTGGCCAAAGAATTATCGCAATATGTGAACTAATATTGGTTGTGGCCAAAGAATAATCGCATTATGCATGAGCATTAATATTGGTTGTGGCCAAAGAATTATCGTACTATGTGAACTAGTATTGATTTTTGCCAAAGAATTATTGCACTATGCTTGAGCACTAGTATTGGTTGTGGCCAAAGAATTACTGCACTATGCTTGAGCACTAATATTGGTTGTGGCCAAAGAATTACTGCACTATGCTTGAGCACTAGTATTGGTTGTGGCCAAAGAATTACTGCACTATGCTTGAGCACTAGTATTGGTTGTGGCCAAGAATTACTGCACTATGCTTGAGCACTAGTATTGGTTGTGGCCAAAGAATTACTGCACTATGCTTGAGCACTAGTATTGGTTGTGGCCAAAGAATTACTGCACTATGCTTGAGCACTAGTATTGGTTGTGGCCAAAGAATTACTGCACTATGCTTGAGCACTAGTATTGGTTGTGGCCAAGAATTACTGCACTATGCTTGAGCACTAGTATTGGTTGTGGCCAAAGAATTACTGCACTATGCTTGAGCACTAGTATTGGTTGTGGCCAAAGAATTACTGCACTATGCTTGAGCACTAGTATTGGTTGTGGCCAAAGAATTATTGCACTATGCATGAGCATTCATATTGGTTGTGGCCAAAAAATAATCGCACTATGTGAACTAGAACTGATTGTGGCTAAAGAATACTCGCACTATGTGAACTAGTATTGGTTGTGGCCAAAGAATTATTGCACTATGTATGAGAATTAGTGTTGGTTGTAGCCAAAGAATAATTGTGCTATATGATAAGTATTGATTGGCGCCAAAGAATTGGCACCATGTGAACTAGTTTTGGTGGTGGCCAAATAGTAATCGTGCTATGTAAGCATGTTTTGGTTGTGGCCACATAATTTTTTGTTTGGCGTTCTGGTCGTGGCAGTAATTCTGCAAGTCCTGCAACCGTCGTGTGTTTTAACTGCGGCCAAATTGGCCATTTTCAACGTCATTGCCCTGGGCGAAATCCTACGAACGCATAGTTTGATTGAATGTGACCTTCCACGGGAAAACGTACGTTAACGATATTTCGTTGAAACGGCAAAACGAACGGATAACGAACGGGTAGTGAACGATCTGTCATATAGTTTCAACGAACCCAAAAAACGTTTTGACGAATTCAGCTAAAAATGTGAACGTTTAAAGTCGAGAATACGAACGGATAAATAAACGTTCTGAACGCCTGTTGCGCGTATGATTGACGCAAGATATTATTGACTAATAGGAAATATTTTCAAACACGTAACGTGTGTTGGCGCAAGTATGCGTGTACATATAAATAGCTATACCTTCATTTGAATGTTTAACTAAATTTATTAGCTAAACTACCTAAATCACATTATTTTATACTTTATATACATATATATATATATACATTTGCATTTTGCATCAAAATTCGGGTTTATTTGTTAGAAAGCCTTCAGTTATTGGTACAAATTATTATCCTTATGTCAAATTAATCAATGCATCATCTGCAACTATACCCATCAAAATATTCAGCGCGTGTTAATTTGCAACAACGTTACAGATGTTGTAAATCTCTCCACGGACAAACTATATGTATGGGTGGTTAAGGACATATAAACACATCATGCATGCATCCGTTTTATTAACACGGCTCTAAACCGAGAGTAAACGAAGATTGCAGTAAATGGCCTGGCTTCGATAATAATATCATAGGCAATGTCATCGGTCACCGTCTCAGTTTAGTTGATCATGAGTTTCAGCTACTGGATACATATTTTATATTAAGCTAAACACAAGAGATTCCATTGTACACTATTGCTTATACTCTTTGACGCGCAAACGACTAAACTAACAAGACGCCTGTTCTGGCGTTAACTCCGGCGCACGTGCCAGTCTTTAATATAGAGCTTCTGAACATAAACAATACAGTTCATATTCGCATTTAGATGCCTTACGAAGCTAAATGTTCGATCGCGAAATTCAGCAGCACATCGTACTTTAAAAAGTATAGAAGTTCAATTGTTCGAAAATGTAAACAAACCGCATGATACATTCGCTTTGTCTCACACTTAGCCTTTGGAATTCGCGCTTATATATTATATCTTCAATCCTGTGCAAACTACGACGTGTCAACGCGCCCATACACGACCACATCATCTTGTTAAACGGCGAAATAGCAGCGATATTATTAAAATAGGACCAAAATCTACATGTATTAAATATATTCTTACTCCAATTCAATCTAAACTTAATCGAAGAGCATGAAAACAACGGTTTATTTGTTCCTCTTGAAGGAATTGCCGTATCATGCGAGCGAAATCGAATCGCGCATCGGAAAATTAGCCAAAGCTGTGCACCACAACTCTTAGGCCTGTTTCAAACGTCGCATTTTGCATGTGTCGAATACAATTCTAATTAGATTCGACCCTAAAACAATAATCCGACCGTCATTTCAAATGTCGCATTTCGCATGTGCTGAATTCAATTAGCGGCAGTCCGCTTGGGCGCATATCATGACGTAAATGACGTAAATAAATAAATAAAGCAATGGCGCAATATGGCGCCAAATTCAAATAAGTGTACCAAAATATTAATATTAAATAATATAATACATCGGGCAAGGCAGAGGCGAAAGACATTCGAAGCAGCTTTGCACTTTTTAATAAGTCGTAGACAAAAGCTATTAAAAATATGTGCTGTGGTAGTTCTCCTTTTATCCGCACGAAATTCAGCTACAACCGTGAAGCGTTCATGTCGGAGATTTCAACGAAATCCAGGTTGGTGGAATATTGTGTGGCAAACATACTCTGATGCTCGGTTTAAAAAAACCTTCAGAGTGTCAAGAGGTACATTTTCTTTTATTCTTGGGCGCATACGTACTAAATTGGAAAGGAAATCTTTAACAGAGGAGCCTGTTGAGCCGGCTTTGCGACTGGCTATCTGTCTCTATCGCCTTGGCCGTGGGACATATTACTACACTATCTCAGAACTTTGTGGTCTTGGATTGTCAACAGTTGCAACAATTACCCGAGAAGTATCTGAAGCTATTGTTGAGATACTATGGGAAGACAGTGTCAACAAGCATATGCCAAACTCAGAGGAGACCTTTCGGGAAAAAATCTTGGATATGGAAGAAATGTGGCAATTTCCATGTTGTTGGGCTGCAGTTGATGGTTGCCATATCCCTATTAAGTGTCCTCCAGGTGGAATGCAAGCTTGCAAAGAGTACCATAACTTTAAGAACTTTTACTCTATTGTCCTCATGGCATTGGTTGACTCACATTATCGATTCATTTGGGGGAGCTGTGGCTACCCAGGAAACTCACACGACTCAATAATTCTACAGTCAACTGAGCTTTGGTCAAATATCGAAGAGGGCGATGGTCTACCATCGATAGGAAAAAAAGTGGGCACACAAACTGTGCCTCCTCTTATTGTTGGTGATTCAGCATTCCCACTCGCACCATGGCTGATGAAACCCTACACCAATGCTGTTTTATCACCCGAACAGAGATACTTTAATTATCGGCTAAGCCGTGCTCGGATGGTCACAGAGGGGGCATATGGCCAGTTAAAGGGAAGATGGCGTGTGCTTCTTCGGAAATGTGAGAGCGACAGCAAGAATGTTCGCATATTTGCACTTGCCTGTATGGTACTACACAATATTTGTATCAATCTGGGTGATACAATGCCAAAAAAGTTGGACCTTACCATTGACCCTACTACCAGTGAGAAGAGGGATAGAGAAAAAATTCGGGAAATACTGCAAATGACCAATTGTTCCAAAGTAAACAATTCATCGCCTCTGGCGGAAAAGATTAGAATGGCATTGGTTGAAAAACTTTGGCTTGAAAAAGAGACTGGATTTATTCGAACATAATTGAACGTTGTTCTTGTTTATTCTGTTAAAAGGAATTTAAGAGTTTTTGCTGAAGTCAAAAGTGATGCATATTATATATATTCCCCAACATTACCTTATGAGGGGACACTTCACGTTAATTTCAACTTTGAAGTGTTTGCAACAGTAACTTTGAATTTAAAAAATTACAGTAGGAAGAAATGCTCAAATGAGCAAAATGAATGGGAAAAGATGTTTCATTGAATATGCGCTGTTGATATGGTATCAGAGTTTAAGTGTAAGGTTACTCTTGCTAATAATTAATATACAAATTTATGTTCCCTAGTAAGTGTGTTTGAAAAAATTTCTTTCTCTGCATAAGGTAATATTTATGCATCAGTATTGACTTGGGCAAAAACCCTAGTAAAATGTTTGTATTAATCTGTTCTTTTTACCAAAAAATGCAAAATGTTAATAATAAATATTTATGTTCAAAAAATATTGTTCTGGTTTGTCATAGACTGTAATTCAATATAGTCTAGATTTTCCATATGGGAACTCTTGAATACAAATGTTTTCATCAGAGCTAGTGCCTTCACATATTACATGCACATTGGCTTAACTACCTCTGCTGCAAACAAAATCTAAATGTTTGTCCAATTCTTCCTTCTGTCATCTATTATAATATTTCTTACAGTTATTTTTAAAGATTGTACATTTGGAAACAAAACAGCAACAATTCTAAATCCCTATTGTACAATACTTAGCCTACTTGGTCACACTTGGTGGACTGAACCCATTTCCAGGATGATATACAAAGCTTGAGGGTTGGCCAATGGTTGGCATGTTATACATAGGACTCTCAGTACTTTGATTACTAAAATATTGCTGAGGGCTACTCCAATTTTGATGTGGTCCTCCATGGACAGAACCAAAACTCATACCTGAGATATCATGTGGTGGAACAAGATTAACCTGGTTACTGTTAGTTGGTGTAGAAGTATGTTTTAACATTAATTCCACCAACTGAAGCTCATGCTTTCTTGCCTTGTCTGCTTCTTCTTGCATAAATGTAATTAGCTCCTTTGCTGGATCTTTTTCAACAATTTGCTTAAGCAATTCAACAGCTTCAGTTACTTGATTTTTCTTTGGGAGCTTTATTTTCTTTTGAGGAACAAAGTCATCAAAGGTTTTTGCAATCTCTTCCTCTTCACTAAGATCATTAAGTGCAGAAGGTTCAACTGCCATACCGGGTTGACATGAGTCACGTGTTTTCACAAGTGGAAAAAGCAAGTCAAACCATTTTCCAAATCCTTTTTCATCTTGGAAGCGTTGGATTCCAGTGGCAGTTTTTATTTTCATGGCAGCTTGTTTACAATCGCTGACACAACGTTTAAATTTTGTCCTCAACTGTTGAACAGTGAATGTAATCTCTTCTCCTCTTGCATTTGCTCTTTTTTTTAGCTCAGTTAATACCTTTTCATAAATAATGCCATTATTTTGATTTTTTGTGTTAGTAAATATCAACTTTTGTTTATTGTAGTCATCAGATGTAATGATATCCACTAAGTCATCCACAGCATCAGTACTCCACACTGCTTTTCTTCCAGCCTTTCCTTTTTTTCTCTTGGTACCAATAAATCTTGTGCAATTTTCTTCACCATCATCCTCATTCTGTGGGATTGTAGAACTATCACCGGCATTTGTTTGCTCACTATATAAAACAATACACAAATTGCCCAAATGTGTACCAGCAATAGTTGGTTGCAAATTGTGGACATGAATAAAGTACACCAGGAAAAGTATTATGGAAGCAAATTATTTTCAGTATATAGCATTGGGATAGCCATGTTTGGACATTAAATGGGTGGTCAATTTCTAGCCTCCAATCCTTCAGTTTCTGGAAGGCACAATTTTGATAATCATATTATTTTAACATTTATAGCTATTGTTGCTATATAGCAAATGACGAATAAAAAAATCAATAAAATTGGCTGATTCAGCCTGACGTCAACTGAATTCAAAAGAAATAATCACTTTTTACGTCGATATGTTTTTACGTCATACATTCAAAAATGTCACATTTCTAACCTTTTCTTGTTATTTTCTAATTTTTCTTCATACTCTTGCCCAAAAATATTGCAATTGATACAATATCCAACTGCTTTCCCAGCAAGCCAGCCTTGGCATCAGGGCATTTTTTAACTGTATAACTACTGGGGCATTTACCCCAGTAGGCCCTGTGCCTGCCCCAGTAGTGAACCTTGATTTCCTGATAGAATGGGCCCTTTTTTCACTGTAAAGGGTTGGTAATTTATCAGTTTTAACATATGGGCCTTGAAATTTGTTCGAAGAAATAAATACGTATGTAATTACGGCATTTACGTGAGACGTCTGTCAGGGGCGGAGGAACAGGGGGGCTAGGGGGGGGGGCTTTAGCCGCCTGAAAAATTTCATGAAGAATGGCAGAATGGAAGATTAAATATACATACATATTACGTTACCACGAAATCGTCAAATTAATGCTCGCCGGCGTATCAAATGCTAATAAGATATCCTATATTGTGATACGGATCAAGTGAATGTAAATTGACTTTCTTTGATCTTTCATAGTTGTCTTTAACAGCAGATTAATCTCGATTAATCTAATCACACCTCAGTTATCACTAATCCGAGTCACAGTTTAACAGTGAAATCTCATGCTTTAACGCCGCAGTTATGACCAATCTGAGTCACAATTTAACAGTGAAAATCTCATGCTTTCACGCCTCAGTTCTTAATTAGTCCAAGTCACAATTTAACAGTGAAATCTCATGCTTTCACGCCTCAGCTATGACCAATCTGAGTCACAATTTAACAGTGAAATCTCATGCTTTCACGCTTTAGTTCTTAATTAGTCCAAGTCGCAATTTAACAGTGAAATCTCATGCTTTCACGCCTCCGTTATATGACTAATCCAAGTCACAATTTGACCGTGAAATCTCATGCTTTCATGCCTCAGATATGACTAAACCGAGTCACAATTTAACAGTGAAATCTCATGCTTTCACGCCTCAGATATGACTAAACCGAGTCACAATTTAACAGTGAAATCTCATGCTTTCACGCCTCAGATATGACTAAACCGAGTCACAATTTAACAGTGAAATCTCATGCTTTCACGCCTCAGATATGACTAAACCGAGTCACAATTTAACAGTGAATTCTCATGCTTTCACGCCTCAGATATGACTAAAGCAAGTCACAATTTAACAGTGAAATCTCATGCTTTCACGCCTCAGATATGACTAAATCGAGTCACAATTTCACAGTGAAGTCTCATGCTTTCACGCCTCAGATAATTATGACTAAAGCAAGTCACAATTTAACAGTGAAATCTCATGCATTCACGCCTCATGCAGTTGTAAATTAGTTCAAGTCACAGTTTAACAGTGAAATCTTATGCTTTCATGCTAACCCAAAGGAAGAACCGTAGTGTACGTATTGTACATTAAGGAAATAAAGTGATAGCAAAGACCAAAATCAAGACCTAGCGTCTCTATTGTCATGATCATAATGGTGCACAAGGTGAAATAAAAACAGGAATTTGCGGAAAGATTCATAACTAATACAGTTATATAAGTTATAACCAACAAAGAAGCACATTGATGCCCGACTAAAAAGCACTGTAGGAAATTGAATAAGATAGGAATAAACGAAACCAATACCTCTAATTCCCCCTGCTCAAGTGGAGCATGTGGGGCAGCTTGATCTTAAACTTGTGGTGCGTTCATCGGGGCTGGCGCTGCTTCCATAGCATTATTAATGTCAGGTTGAGCCGGTGCAGCTACTTCTGGGTATTGTACATCTTGTTGTTCGTTGTCCATTGATTTGTGTCGGTGTGTGCGAAGGCTTGACTTGAAACGGCTTCTGGTTTATGATACGTCTGACCGTGGAACTGAGCAAGAGGCCGGTATTTGGGTGTGTACCGCTTTTATATCTGTTCCAGGTATGCCCGGCATTCATACATATTCAAATATTCGCATTTCCTAACTTTCTGGATCTTATTTCCGCTTCGCATCTCATTATGAGTGTTGTGAATAGATTATTATCATAATATTCTTAAGGTATAATGATGCCCTTAGTTGCTACTGACAGTACTGTGTACAGGCGACATTCCGCGACAAGCTTGACCGCAGCTAGAGGCTATTGCCGCACGGAACATATTGTGTGCACTAGGTAAATATCCAAGCTTGTATTTTAAATATTCTATTACCGCGCAATGCATTGCTGAAATTTAAATGGGGATTTTCACGTGCATAAATGGTTTGGATATTTAATGTAGTAGGCTATTTATACCAAATAAGTTTTGACAGCATGCAAGCATACGTTTCTACGCTGGTTCGCATACAAACGAACTTTGCTGAAATTTAAATGGGGATTTTCACGTGCATAAATGGTTTGGATATTTAATGTAGTAGGCTATTTATACCAAATAAGTTTTGACAGCATGCAAGCATACGTTACTACGCTGGTTCGCATACAAACGAACTTTGCGTATGCGATATTCTGTATAATTGTTATTAATGTCTGGTTATCATCTGTAAACAGCCTCGTACCCAGGCGCTTTATTGGAAAACATAAAGGCTGCATTCAGCGTAATATAGAGATCTGTGGCTGAGATGTGCGAGCGCGCAGGGGTGCTTGGGGAGGACGCGACGGGAGAACGAAGCTTCATTTGTCGCGTCCTCCCCAAGCACCCCTGCGCGCTCGCACACCTCAGCCACAGATCTCTATATTACGCTGAATGCAGCCTTTATGTTTTCCAATAAAGCGCCTGGGTACGAGGCTGATCTGTAAACAACTTGACCTTGCGCTAATTACTCCGGCGTCAGCGACGGAGTTGAAAATTCGACCCGGTTTTGTTTTGTTTTTGTTTTTTTGTTTTTTTTTTTTTTTTTATTTTTCGTCGTCGCAAGTCTGAAATGGCGGGAAACATTCTAGTAATTAAGGTGTGTATGTTACTGTATTTATCTACGTCCCAGTCTTATCTCCTAAGGCCTGTTTCAAACGTCGCATTTTGCATGTGTCGAATACAATTGTTTGAATTATCTGCATGCGAGATGCGACGTATGAAACAATTGAATTCGCCGTTTTTAATTGCGGTCGACCGTGATGCTAAATTCGACTGTTCCGGTCGCATTATGCGAGCTCGATGCGACGTGGTTTCATAGGTCGCATTTTGCATGTGTCGAATTTAATTCGCTTGAAGAAAAAGGCGAAGAACGTCATGTTATATTATTGAAAGAATTTCCCGCGTTTTTTCGTCCATGTGGTATATGCAAATATGGAGGACAAAGACAAAGGAAATATTGAACCAAAACAGTCGACGACGTATTGTATTTCATGTGGAAAGCTAACAAACTACATTTGCCTGCAGTGTTCTGCGTCTGTTTGTAATCGCTGCGCGATACATGAACCAGACGACGAATGCCAAGCAGGGCATTTTTTAAGGAATTTTGACTAGTAGGGTAAAGTGTGTATTAGGGCCCATGCGCAAGACAAATATGTAATAGACGATTCCCCTTACTAAGAATTAGTAGCGCTTTGCATTATGGTTATGGTGTTATCACTGACATTCAAGACAGTTTGAATGAAAATATTGAATGTTTTCCTCACGATTTTGCTGTTGGTCATTCTTTATACAACTGCCCTAACTTTCCCAAACGCTCTTGCACAGGTGAAGACAAAAAATTTAGATGTGGCTTAACAATCAAAGATACCACTATAACCATGATGCAAAGCGCTACTAAATCTCAATAAAGGGAATCGTCTATTGACATACAGATGTCAGGGGCGGCGGAACATAATATATGTGACTCGGATTAGTGATAACTGAGGTGTGAAAGCATGGGATTTCACTGTTAAACTGTGATTTGGACTATTCCGGATCTGAGGCGTGAAAGCATGAGTTTTCCCTGTGAATTGTGACTTGGATTAGTCATAACTGAGGCGTGAGGGTATAAGATTTCACTGTTAAACTGTGACTTGGACTAATTATAAGAACTGAGGCGGGAAAGCAGGGGATTTTTCACTGTTGAATTGCGACTCGGAAAGTCATAACTGAGATGTGAAAGTATGAGAGTTTTATTGTTAAAGTGTGGCTCGGATTAGTAATAACTGACGTGTGAAAGCATGAGGTTTCACGGTTAACTGTGACTTGGAATAGTTATAACTGCATGGCGTGTGAAATCACGAAGTTTCACTGTTAACTGTCTGTGACTCGGATTAGTCATGACTCAGGCCTAAAATCAGGAAATATCACTGTTAAACTGTGTCATGAACTTGTTATAACTGAGGTGTGAAAACATGAGATTTCACTGTTAAACTGTGACTCGAATGTGCCGTGAAAATATGAGGTGTGTCTCCGATTAGTTAGCAAAGCGTGTTGACTGCGTTCAGCTTCGCTGTTAGAATTGTTCTTCGGACAAGTCCTAGTAATGAGTGAATTGTGGAAAATATGATTATACACTGAAAACATCGATTATATTTCCGATTTATATATGATGAGTGAGAACGCCAGATGTCAGTAGAATTTTGACTCGTGGACTAGTCTTAGACAAGCAGCAAATGTGTGAAGGCACGAGGCCCAACTACATATTTCCTTAAAGTGTTGTTGACGCAATGCAACCAAAGTCTCTCCCTCAGAATATGAAGAACGAGTTGGCAAGGCTCAACAAGGTTGCCTTGGACCTATCCCGTCCCTCTGCAGATGCTACGTTGAGAAAAGTATTGGATTATGCCTCGTACCCACTATCCGAATCCAGCAAATATGAAATGCTTGATATGGTTGAAGCGTTGCAAAATACCGGCCCGCACGTGATACAAACCATCAGAAATGTGCCTATTATCGTTTGGCGTATCACCCGACCATTTCCAATCTTTGATCCTACAACTGTTGGGGGACAAGGATCATCAAAAGATTTTTGATGCGGTAACACAAGTAGAAAATCAATAAGGAAACTCCGACCAGCGCCATGGCCCTCATCATTAGGATCTCGTCGCTCCTATTTTATGCAGGCTGCTAGAAATCCGACTTCCCAAATACGCTGTTTTTATTGTCGCCGACTTGGTCATATAGCGGTAGATTGTGTGATCCGAAAGTCTCGACAACCCTCCTCTCCACAGGTGAACCATCCTAAGCGGG